TTAGGGTTTAGAGGTTTAGGGTTATAAGGGTTTAGGGTTTAGGGTTTAGCAGTGGAAAACCCAAGAGCCTGCATCCGATAATTCAAGAAATCCAGGGTTCCTTATATAGGGTTTAGGTTGAGGGTTTAGGGTTTATAACTATGGTATGAAATACCCCAAAGCCCCTACTCTCATTAGGAAGGCCCCGATAGCATAGTAAGTAAAGATGTCTAAACTAGACCCTGACACCGAAATCTTGTAAACCGCGAAGAATGGAGTAGTACGCTTAGGCACCTTTACACGAACCCTAGGCCGTACACAACCCCCTCATAGCACAACCATAGGAATCTTTACAGGAACTCCGCGCGGAGCTTGCCGACGGCTGAAAGAGAACCGACAATAAACGCGTTCAGCCCCAGACTCTCTAACATGGGACCTGGTACTTATCTAGGCCTCTACGTTACATGTTTAGACTCAAACTTCTGTAGCCACAAGCCCCAAAAGCCCCAAACTCAAAACCCTAAACTCTAAGCCCAAACCCAACACCCCCACTCTAAACCCAAACCCAACACCCCCAAGACCCTAAACTCTGCAACTCCCCCCCGCTTCTTCCGTCTGAGCCTTCCTTTGAGTAGGCCATGGCAGAAGAGCAGCAGCCGGCAAGGCTCTGACTCGGGGTACAGGGTTCAAGGTTTAGGGCTTAGGGTCTTAAGGGTTTAAGAGTTTACGGGTTAGAGGGTTTGGGGGTTAGAGGGTTTAGGGTTTGAGGGTTTGCGGGGGTTAAATTAAAGTTTAGGGGTTAGAGGGTTTAGGGGTTTGAGGATTAGGGGTTTAGGGGTTATAGGGTTTGGGGTTTCGGGGTTACGATTTAGGTACTTAGGATTTGCATTGCGCTTGCAAGTGGGAGGATGCACTTCGCAAAGCTTGCAACAAAGAACTTCTTGCAATCGGGTCCTTTCCCGACTGGCCATCCGAGCTGTTAGGTTTAGGGTTTAGGGCTTGGGGTGTTGAGGGTGCAGGGTTTCGAGGGGTTTAAACTTCGGGGCTTTTGGTGGTGTAGGGCTTCGAGGGAGTTCGGTGTCTAGCTCTACGGTTAGGAGTTTAGGAGAGGTGTAGAGTGTTTTACGGCTTAGGGTCATGAAGGTTAGCTGTTCCAAGCTGTCTATAGTCTGTGTCTTCGGATGATGATCCGGCTGATGGTGCAAATTGCTGACGTCGATCGTGGGACCGATGATGCTGATGGTGATTGGGAGTTCTGCGCATTGGCTGTTGCGATGCCTTTCGGTTCTTGTTCTTCTGTATGGCTGGTTCTCTACTTTAGGATTCCTTTTACGGTCCTTTTTTATAAGGGTGCCGTATTATTTTGATGTTGGGGACCGAAAAAGGGACCCTGGATGCACCTTGCTGCTTTCGATGGTTTGAGCCTTTTTGTCGCTCTCTGCAGCTGCCAGGCTAACCAATTCTCCGCAGGATCGCGGTAGCCTCTTGCACCTCGCTTGCATAGTGGATCCTCTTGGTTGGCGGCTTTGAGCTACCTAAACCCTAAAGCCTAAAGGACCCTAGACCCTAACCCCGAAACCCTATTATAGACCCTAGACCCTGGACCCTTAAACCCTAAACCCACAGGAGCTTTCGATTTCAGGACTTCGTGCGCTGATCTTTTGGCTTTCTCTGCTAAACCCTAAACCCTAAAAGTCAAGGCTGTTTATGGCTTCTGCGGGTGGCCGCAGGATTTGGGGCTAAGCCCTACACGCGCTAAGTGGCCCCAAATTCAGAAACCCCTCCCAACATTTCCTGAAAGATCGCGGGTAAGCCTTCACCCCAAACCAGTCCTGAACCCCTAATGCTCTGAAGCCCTGAACCTGAAGCCGAACCACCCTTTGGCCCCCGTACGACCCCGAGACCCCTGCCCCTATAGTAGGCCATATCGCAACCCTTGTAGTAGCTTAGGGTTTAGGGTTTAGGGTTTACTATAAAGTAACCCCGAGGGTTTAAGGTTAAGGGTTAAGGGTTCAGGGTTTATTATAAAGTAACGTTTGCAGTAACCCTTAGCTCCCCCAGCCACTCCGAAAGATTAGCTTCGGGCACATCCGAGGATTAGTCTCCGTTCTGCGAATCGCGAGCAGCCTGGCAGAATAGGGTTTAGGGTTTAGGGTTGCTTTCAGGGCTTGGATGGCCTTGAGGCTTAAGCCATGATTAGGTTTTTTAAGCTGTAGGATGTGTGGTTTGAGGTTCAGGCGGCTGTCAGATGTGATAATTCCAAGTTCTTCCAAATTCGGGTTTGGGGCTTGGGATTCGGTTGGGCATATGTCGTCGCAGGCCATCGGGTCTTAGTCCCTACTCAGAGAAACAGTGCCAAGCTGTTTTCGGGTTTCAGGTTTAGAAATCCCACAGCCATCGAACGGGTCACTTCAAATCCACACTAATGACGAGTTGGCGAAAGGTTCAAGCCTGACCCCAAAGCTGTAGCTGTGATTTATACATAAGTTTGTGCTCGACACACAAAACTTGCACCTGACACCGTATATGAGCGCATAGGCGTCCTACAAGCATCA